TCTTTTTAAGAGGCTTGATCTTCAGTCACTTCTTCAAATAAAGTCCCACATGATGATCTCTCTATCATTTTCTCCCTGTGTATTTTCAGGAACAACTTCAGAAATTTAATATTTCCCTTCTGTAGATCCAAAATAAGATAACTCTCAGAATCACTCTTCTGATTTATAATCTGGACATCCCTTTAATTGTTAAGACATCAACCAACATAATTTGTAGATCCAATGCAGCTTATTTCTCCATGTCACTCTTATAGTCGAACATTTTTAAATCCCTTTTCAAATCCAGAACATCTTTTTCCATGTCTTCCATATCTCTTTTATAGTCTGTCAATTTTTTAAAGTCCATTTTAAGGTTCCTATTCAAATCATTTTCAGACTCTATTTTATCCAGTAGAATCTTTTCTTCTTCTATAACCTGTTGGCTCCACTTTGAAAGTATTGGAAAATTTTAAAAATAGATCCTGAACACATTGTTCCCAAGCCAACTTAAATTCTTCTATAGTAAAATAATATTCCTCCATTATGTTAGTAAGTATCTTCTCTTTTAATTGTTATGTGGTTCCCTTCAAAGCCCAGTCTTATCTTTTGTTTATTTTCAGAGTCCAAATTTTCTCACAGTAAGGTTTCTTACAGTTAATTCCAAAATCATCAGCTGCATTTTTATAAAATTTAAAACGGTCCATAAAAACTATTCTTTCAGATCCATCTGCCCCCTTAACTATTCATAGTCAACATTCTAAACTCCCTTTTGCTGTTTTAAAATTAAAATTTTTCTTTTTAATCTTTAAACTTACTTGAATCTTCTTTCTTCAAGGATAGAAGGAAATTCTAGTGTGCAGCAACTTGTCCTTCAGAAGGTTTTTAATTTTCAAATAAATTGATAATAGGTAGTTTCTGTTGTCAATCAAAAAAGAACTGTATCCAAATCTAGTGTCTTTTTGAAGGCTCCGAGCTGTGGTTTGGGCTCAATGTTTCCCACAACTCCCAGAGCGCTCAACCTGCTGGAGATTGCTAATTTGTGATCTCTTCACAGGGAGCCTCTGTGAGGAGTACTTGTGGGTGATCCAGTCATCTTCTTTGCCCAGAGATGGTTCCGAAGAGTTGGATCCTTCACCGGCTCCTCTTGTCCACCGCAGCTGTCAGCTCCGCAAAAATGGAGCCATCTTCAATCCGCTAGTACTCCCTTGGAAGTTGCTGAAATTTTCTTCCACATGTCTTGCGGCTACAACTGTGATTGACTTATTTAATTCCCTTGAATGAATAAACTAGTTTGTGGTTTGAGTTTAAAATAGGTTCAAAAGAGTAGAAGGGCTGTAATATTGTGTTACTCATGCTTTGCATGTAAGTCTCATTTTAGAATTTCCAATTTAATAAGATTAAATTATAAATAGAGCTATTTTGTGTTAAATACACTTTAAAACATTATTTTTAAATCATGTATGACTGAAAAATAATACAATCACTAAATGTCTCTTGCTTTATGAAAATATGACATGAATGTCATATATCATCTGATTTATAAGAAATATAAGAAATGCTTGAATAAATAAAATAAACATTCTTCTTCTGACAGTGACTGATGTTTCCAACTAATTTAGAGCCCTCAGCGGACAGAAAAGTATGCTGCTATATTTCATTTTGTTAACTTTGCCCAATATTTTTCTGTTAAGATTTAAGATAAGCTATCCAAAGCTAGCTATGATCTATGACAACGAGCAGGATGAAGTAGTTAGGGATTGAAAGAGAGAGTATAGTATCAGCTGCCTTAAACCCATCTAGATAGAGAAGCAGGAGAAGAATCTACATCTATAAATGTTCAAAATATGCCAATTGTTGTGAGCAGGGGGCATACCCAAGTCATGCATTGCCTATCCATGAGGATATCCATGAAGATGAAGGGCTGGATAAGGCTGCATGCAGCTATTGACCACCACCAAAAATCTGTGGGATGATTTTGCTTTTCAAAAAGGGAGTAACAAGTAAAACTATAGTAGTACTCCTCCAGGAGACTTGACATACTGATGTAACTTTTAAAACTCTCTCAAAATGAAATAGGACTGAAAATTGATAGTGTCCCTCCTGTGGCCCTTGGACTATAAAAATGTTGCTCACCCCAATCTGAAATATATCAATGTAAAAAATCTGTCCCTTTGAGAGAAGAGAACCAGCTTACCTAGCTATCTTATCACTGCATGACATAGTAAGTAATCTCTCTCCCTGAAGAACTCCATCCCATGTCTGGATTGTAGTTGTAGAACGGACAGGGATCGTTCCTTCCCCAGATTCAATTTTAGTACGTAGCTGACCTCTTGCTTTCCGGTTTGGGTGTCTGTCTCCTTGATCTGAATCATGCAAGTCACCATAGTTACAAAACAAGACATGAAAGATAAATATTAATTTTGATGCAACACATATACATATACATATACATATACATATACATATACGTACATATACATATAGCACTATTTTTATTTCTTATTTCAGCCAGGGAATTTACAGAACAGCAAAACAATACAAGATATAGTGCAATTAGGAAAGCTATTGTGTGCATTAGTAACTTTACACAGCATCTTATATACACAAAATTGATAACATTATTTAGACTACATTGTTAAGATTTCAGGCATTCCAGTCAAAGAGACCTTAGGGTGTTTTTTTTAAACTAATTATAACTTACAAATTCTAAAGCAATTTAAACAGAGAATTAAAGCCACAATAAATAAGCTGTTGCAGGAAAGGAGTACAAGGCTGTATACTGTCACCCTGCTTATTTAACTTATATGCAGAGTACATCATGAGAAATG